GGGGGGGCAATCGAGAGGGAGAGGGGGAGGGGGAGAGAGACAGAGAGAGGGAGAGGGCATCCACATAAATATTTCACAAAGAATGAATTTCGGTGTGCCACTTTGGGGTGTGACCAGGTGACAAACCCAACTTCAGTCATGTTTGTGGAAGTGCAATAAAGCTCACCCCAGCCGAGGCACAGAAAACGCTTGCGGATAAGTCGTGATCTCATTTTGCCAATGACGGCCAGGTAGGACTGCCACGCCTCTGTCAGCACCCAGCAGAAGGAAGCCAAGAAGAAGAAATGTAGGAAGGCAGCAGTCACAGTACAGAGACCCTAACAAGAGCAGAAAATCAGGGAGAAAGAGAATGATTAAACAGTAGTAGTCATTTTACAAAAAAGAAAAAAGGTAGTTTTGTGTTAGGTGTCACAATGAAACATCTCTTAGAACTAGTCAACAGAGGAAAATGAAACCTCCGCAAAATAGAAAGGACAAAAAGAAAAGGGCAATCTCTATTGTGGAGAGGAGTAGAAGTTTAACCTGGCTATCGTGTGTCCTCAACTGACCACCACACAGTGCAGCCTTGCTCAGCCAGAGAACTCAGAATCAGAATCAGCTTTATTGGCCAGGTGTGACGGACACACGAGGAATTTGACTCTGGTACATCGGCTCTCAATGTGCAAACAGTAAACCAGCATAAGGCTGTGTAATATAACAAAATACCAGTATTAACATCAACAAACAGTGCAAACAATGCAGAAAAAGCAGTATAAACAGACAGTAAACAATGCAGGCAACAAAGGAATGTTCAGTGAAATGAGATAAATAGGGATAAAAACGAGTACTTAAGAACTAGAGACCTGTACAAGTCTCTACAATTTGTACAAGGTATATTTACAGGTATTGCACTGAGGGTTATTGTCCAATCATACTGTCGTGGGTTAAGTGTTCATCAGAGCGTGAGCCTGGGGGAAGAAACTGCCGTCCAGAGGGGAGGAGTTCAAACAGATTGTGTCCAGAGTGCGAGGGGTCTGCAGTGATCCTCTCCGCCCTCCTTTTGACCCATGCGGTGTACAGGTCCTCCACGGAGGGAAGGCTCACACCAATGACCTTTTATGCAGTCCTGACTGTCCGCTGAAATCTGTACTTGTCCTGTTTGGTTGCTGAGCTAAACCAGACAGTGATGGAGGTGCAGAGGACAGACTCAATGATTCCTCTGTAGAACTGTATCAGCAGCTCCTGGGGCAGGTCGAACTTCCTAAGATGGCGCAGGAAGTACATCCTCTGCTGTGCCTTCTTGGTGATGGTCCTGATGTTGGACATCTCATTCAGGGCCT